CAATATTAACATAACGCGATACGCTGGCGACATATTACGATGTCGAGGATACTACATATTACCTGTAGACGATGTCGAAGATAATACATTTTACCCGTAGACGATGTCGAGGATAATACATTTTACCCGTAGACGATGTCGAGGATACTACATATTACCTGTTGACGATGTCGAGGACAATACATATTACCTGTAGACGATGTCGAGGATAATACATATTACCTGTTGACGATGTCGAGGATAACACATATTAGTTGTAGACGATGTCGAGGACAATACATATTACCTGTAGACGATGTCGAGGACAATACATATTACCTGTAGACAATGTCGAGGATAATACATATTACCTGTAGACAATGTCGAGGATAATACATTTTACCCGTAGACGATGTCGAGGACAATACATATTACCTGTAGACAATGTCGAGGATAATACATATTACCTGTAGACGATGTCGAGGACAATACATATTACCTGTAGACAATGTCGAGGATAATACATTTTACCCGTAGACGATGTCGAGGACAATACATATTACCTGTAGACAATGTCGAGGATAATACATATTACCTGTAGACGATGTCGAGGACAATACATATTACCTGTAGACAATGTCGAGGACAATACATATTACCTGTAGACAATGTCGAGGATAATACATATTACCTGTAGACGATGTCGAGGATAATACATTTTACCTGTAGGCGATGCCGAGGATAACACATATTAGTTGTAGACGATGTCGAGGACAATACATTTTACCTGTAGGCGATGTCGAGGATAACACATATTACCTGTAGACAATGTCGAGGATAATACATATTACCTGTAGACAATGTCGAGGATAATACATTTTACCTGTAGGCGATGTCGAGGATAACACATATTACCTGTAGACAATGTCGAGGATAATACATATTACCTGTAGACAATGTCGAGGATAATACATATTACCTGTAGACGATGTCGAGGATAATACATTTTACCTGTTGACGATGTCGAGGATAATACATATTACCTGTAGACGATGCCGAGGATAATACATATTACCTGTAGACGATGTCGAGGACAATACATATTACCTGTAGACAATGTCGAGGATAATACATATTACCTGTAGACGATGCCGAGGATAACACATATTAGTTGTAGACGCTGTCGAGGATAATACATATTACCTGTAGACGATGCCGAGGATAATACATATTACCTGTAGACGATGTCGAGGATAACACATATTAGTTGTAGACGATGTCGAGGATAATACATTTTACCTGTAGACGATGTCGAGGATAACACATATTAGTTGTAGACGATGTCGAGGATAATACATATTACCTGTAGACAATGTCGAGGATAATACATTTTACCTGTAGACGATGTCGAGGATAATACATTTTACCTGTTGACGATGTCGAGGATAATACATATTACCTGTAGACGATGCCGAGGATAACACATATTAGTTGTAGACGCTGTCGAGGATAATACATATTACCTGTAGACGATGCCGAGGATAATACATATTACCTGTAGACGATGTCGAGGATAACACATATTAGTTGTAGACGATGTCGAGGATAATACATTTTACCTGTAGACGATGTCGAGGATAACACATATTAGTTGTAGACGATGTCGAGGATAATACATATTAGTTGTAGACGATGTCGAGGATACTACATATTACCTGCAGACGACGACGAGGATAACTCATATATTGATATCTGTCGTCTATGACATCTTCATAAATGTTTTCCTCTATCGTATATCACGCAGGCGGTTAATGATTGTGACTACGTAATAGGCCATTCTAAAATACCACATGTCAGTTGTAGAGTGTAATATCAACGCTTTATGTAAATAACTCTTTTGTGTTGAAGCAGTATATGTCCAAGTCAGACCTCGTTAATCCGGACGCCGTCAGTCAGGATATCAAGACTTATACTGTACAGCTGTTATGCTATATTCCAAGGACATTACTACATACTCATGATTTGTTAATACGGATATTCGTTAATCTGGGCGATTGATCTAGAACTAATGTAACCAGTAGATATGAAACAAAGAGACATACTATCACGGTATTACTAGAGACTTACTCTGTACAGGTGTCCTTTCTTCCTCGGTGATTGAACTAGTCCCAAAGGTTACATATCCAACGAAACTGATATCATGTTTACGATAAGCAATGACATACTCCTATCCTGACATGTATTTGTCATGCAAAATTGCACATGTGACTTCCCTTCAGATATTCCCAAACAACTGTCGCTTCTACCGCAAGAGTTTGTCATCAGTCAACAAACGCGTTCTAAAGTGCATTCATGAAAAATACAACCTTAGCGTCGAGGAGGTCAGAGGTCATTTGTATATCGAATCGAACTCCAACATGTCTGCTAATAATAATTTATATTAACATCTATTTTGTAAAGATCAGAATCGTTATATTTTGCATGATATTTAAAAATTTCATTAATTTAAAGTACGATATCCCTCGTGTACTATATAAAGCTCATCGTTTCTATTTAATGGCCATAGATTGCTTGTAGCTGTCAAAACCTGTCAATCATGAGATAACATTGTTTATGGTGTATATTCTGGGCTCTGTTGGAAGCGTGCCAGGTGTATATTGGTGATTATCTCTTATTAAGTGCAGCTTGAAACGAACAAGACCCAGGTTGTAATAAAATGCACATATCCTGATCACATGCAGCGAAATGAACAGCCCCTGTTGAGAACGCCAAAACATGAAATACACGTACAGGTGTGTAATCAGCTACCTGGATCCTAACGGGGGTTGATGTTAAGTGGCGTCAAATTTAATGTCTCATTAAGGGGCAACTGTATCAGAATTATGATAAAATGTTCATTACAGTTTCTTTAATGTATATAAAAACGCATAGCAAAGCTTACTTTTTAAAAATAGGTCGTATGAATGTTAAATCTACGTTTCTACACTCAACATTAAATTGAAATAAATTCTTCCATTTCTTACACAATGCTAACACTATGCCAGATACAGATGTTTACAGGACTTTTTAACATTGGAAAACACAAGGATAGTTGTTATGGTCAATGTAGAAGTGATATACATAAACAAACGTAGAAAGTTCAAATAATTAAAAACTTTGTATTTACTATGATATATCATACCCATTTCAAACTCATATTCAATAATGTAAATATTATACGATTCCTAGTGTATACAGTATCACTATCACCGTCACTAAACCTATGTGTAATGATTATATACTCATGCCAATAATGGTTGTCACCCCCCTCACCCCAACCCCCACACCTCCACCCCCTCTCCAATTAAAAAAATTGAAGGGGGTGAAAACCATTATTGGCATGAGTATATTATGCTACAGACATCCTTTTTCTGACTCACATCAAATTGCTAATATACTGTTGTTCATGTCAAGACACGATAAAACATGTCGAATTCAATAACTGCTTTGACTATTGTCCGACAGCATATAATTTATGTTATTAAAAACGATATCAACGGTGTATGGCAAACCTGTTAGATTTATCATTCAATATACAACACTGTAAAGAAAACACTAAACGATCATCACGTTGGCAATAAACCCATTTCCCCAATCTCTAAATCATAATGCACATGTATTTTACAACTGCCTTTGGCAAAAGCGATTAGATTTGTCAAAATGATATTTGCAAAGAAGGTGAGGGTGAAAGTAAGTATTTATGTTGATGGACGGTAGCCCGAGGCATCGTCATGCACGGCTATACAACGTTAAACAGATAAACAGCCCACGGTAGGCAGGACGCTCACTAGGGTCAGATATAAAGGTGGGTAGACGTTAATGGTATTCCTGTACAGCACGGATTGTTACTGTTTTGCGGGGTGAAAGATCATCAACTACCTAGAAAACGAGTTCCAGGTGTTGACAGGTGGGGTAGAATAAGAATTTGGGAAATGATATATTATCATGTATGAAGGTTTAGATATGTGCATTGATTATAGCTATGGCAACAGCTGATGCTGTATTTTTGTGAAATATTACTGGTATGCCTGGCTACACTTAGCACGGAGTTACCGATGTTGTTTTCAATAAATATTATCGTTAAAATGTTATTAGTTGCATTCATATTATGTAAGGCACTGAGCATGGCGTGGTGTGCATATGTAACGCTGGGTAAAACTTTATTGGTTTCATTATTAATTCAATCAAATTGTTCGATATGATGTAAATAGCAATATATCAAATATAACACATATACATGGTGATATTATGTTGATACAAGTAAAAACATATAATGCGAGTATCAATATGTTGCTATGCAGCCTTGCGTTCTTGAATTCCTACATTACGAGCATTGCGATTGAGCTTGACGCGACAGCTGTCGAGTTTAAAGTTGAGAGAAACTTTATCCAGCTAAAGGGTGTTTTCCCTCCAATAAAAACACGGTGTAAACGATCCTTAGATACAGGCGCGAGATGGGGCTCCCAATCTCGGTTTATCGCGGGACCCGAACAGCGGGGTCAAACACATAAATCACCTAATATACCTAATTTCCCAACCGATTACTTATCAATCAACGCACGAGCTAAATATTAGATGTGGACATCTGTCAAAGACTCGACCCAGCTCGTCCACACCTCGAAGGCATTTGGTGTTTGTATAGATGTTCAAGTGTCTGCTTATCTTTACAGATATGACTCGTCAAAACTAACATGAACTAGATAAATATATGTTGAATGCTGTAATTATTAATATTCATGAATGTACAGCCGAGTTAGTGACTGACTGACATGAGCGTGATATTGACCCTGGTACGCGGGCTTGAGCGAGTGTAAGAGAATCTGATTGACGGTTATATACAAGCGCCGATCACCACCACGTGTCGTTACTGAAAGTCACTGAACGCCGGAATGTCCTCTGAGACAACGCGTCCATATTGTACGAGGCCTGAATTAACCTATTAAACATGTAACCAAATATCAGTCAATATACAAGCAACCTACCTTTTACAGCAACCAATAGTCATATGTAGTTGAAGTCAGGAGTAGACACCCTTTCTCATTCATTTAATACAACCCGGAAAAAGATTTCCCACTGAATCCAGTTCATGAGAGCTGTTCACAGTTGTTACACATGACCACCAGAGCGAATCGCCTCATCACCAAAAAACGAAAGCACTTTATATGACTGGCTCAATCGCTGTTGTCTAGCGTACAGCACGCTGTAATATCTGCCAGCCCGACTCAAACCCACCTCCTCCTTCTAGGCGGAGCTCTGACTGGGTCAGGGAACTAGCGGATTTAGAATCCTCGTTCGGAGTGGGAGAGCAGTCTTTGACTGTTGCAGATTAAGATCTGTAGTGCTGCGGTAACGTGGACGCTTTGTAAAATAATCCTTCGCGTCACGCTAAATGCTAGCGTTATTTTTAGCTTCCACGGTCTATTTTAGCATATGTACTGTATTATACATCCCCACTCACTGCTTCCTCGAGCACACATCCAGAGAGTGTTCCCCCCTTATACCGGCTTTTGTGTAGTTTATGAAAGGCAAAGCGGGTTATACCACACGGGCTCTCCACAAAACCCTCCCGTTATCAAAATTCTTCAACACAATACCGATAATCGGTACATAGTTTCAAATAAGATATAATATGTTTAAAAATTAAAAATATAATGTTATTCAGCTAAGCACAGATTCGGTGTTGAACCGCTAGTGCTTGGACAAAAGTATACTTTTAAATAGTCAAAGCCCATTTGAGATCGCAAATTTAGTCCTGACCAACTCAAATTAGACACACACTTTTCTTATAAGTATACGATTATTATCGCTTATATTTACACCTGGAATGTATTAGTTTACTGAATTGTTACAGTATACCTCTTAGTTCAACACTTTACACATGTTTTCAACATGAAAATATATACTAGGGAAACTGAACATATTTCTCTTACATATGTATATATAAATAATTGCTCACGTCTACTATTACCGGTCATGATGAATTTGACCTTCATAGCTGCAGATGTAGAGGCTGTCGATTCTAAAAGTAGAACAGTTTAATAAACTAGCCTGCAATGAACACCGCTAACGCCCTCCATGAGGACACGTGACATGTGCGGGTATAAATGTCATTAATTGCACGCATCGCTAATAGTGAAATTAAGCCCCGGAGCATTATAACCGGAGATTTTACTTAACATTAATACATGGTATAGTACACACGACTTAATTACTGGTTATATACTTATCAGCATTCAGAAATTTAATCACAAACAGAGTTTGACTGACACATATTAATTTCATACACACATCGGATAAACTTTAAGTCGATATCACGAGATGCTTAGATAAAGCTGTTGGATATATTTAGAATAATACTTTATACATTCCTGAATACCATTTCGAAATATTTTGTAAGTAGTAGGGGCGGTGGGGTAGCGTAGTGGTTAGAGAGTTCCCAACATGGGTACAATGTGTGAAGCCCATTTCTGGTGCCCCCCGCCGTGATATTGATGGAGCATTGCTAAAAGCGGCGTAAAACCATGCTCACTCACTAACTAACTCACTCACTCACTATTAAGTAGTAGCACGTAACATTCACAGGGGTGGATGAACTCTTTTATAGGTTTACTACTGCCGAAGCCGAAGTTGACTGCTACGGAATACCATGCTACACTAGTGTGGCAAATGCATCTCGTTTCTCGCCACAGGCTTAAGTTGTAAAATAGCAGAAGCCATTTGGTAGCCGTGCAACAATATAGCTGGCAGACATTTCTGGGCTCGTTTATCTTCTTGTACTGATCTGCTATACCTATAATTTTAACGCATAAGTGAGCCAAATGTTGAGATATAATGATTAGTGGATATTGTTTTCAGATCAGATAAGACGGAGCTCAGCAGGGCCGTGTTACGAAGGAAGCATAGATCGCCGACTCGAGTGTAGTTCATTGTTGGTGTGCAATGTTACGTATACAAGCACCCCGGGTAGGCGCAGGTACCCGTATGGTAATATTAACAGCAGACAAGAGAACTTGCGGGTAATCTATGAATACAAACTGAGTTTGACGGTTCTCGAATAAATACTACTTAACACCAATTAACATATTGGAATAATAATAATTAAAATGTACAACCTCTACCTAGGTGGGCTTCTGGGGGTGAGGCTCGGGTAATTGACATTCCTTGCAAGCTTGGTCTACTCTGGAATATGGATTAACGAAATTTTAGCACGAGTTGCGTCCCCTGTGACACGATAGGAACATGAATGAAGAAATATTTCTTTTCGATTTTACATATGATAAACTAATGCAATACATTCAGGGTGGTAAGGTGGGTCCTGGATTGACAGAAATCCGGATTAGTCATGGTCCGGTTCCAACAGATTCTAGTTGATATTTTCCTGGCGCTAATGCTAACCCGAATTACAAGGACACACTGTAGCGGCTGGATACAAATCCCTTGATACAACAACTGGACATTAGCTGGACGTATATGCCCGATAAGTTGCCGTACAGTCCGCCTTTAAGGTTCTCATGACCTCTTCACTCGGCGATGTGACGTAGCTTATTTTTAGCATCCGCGCTAATACTGCTACAACGAATAGATTAAAAAAATACAGCATTAACAGATCAACCGCCTATGTTGACATTAGCTTTCATCAGCTTGTTAAACTGGGCATAAAGGAACTGGCTAAATTGCGTTTAGAGAATCGTCGATACAAACAAATGAAAAGTAAACATTGAGAGAGTCAGGTCTTCTTGAATTCGATTATCGACCTTAAAACTGAATTAAGCCACGTTACCCTGGATTTCGTGACAATAGTTACCCAGGATTTAGTGACAATAGTTACCATGGAGTAGAGACAATATGTGTTTGCAGGTAGTGAACTGTCATCGCCAGGGTTGTATGCAGGAGCGTGTTTGATAATTACAACCGGGCTATGAATGCATGTGCTTTTTGTCCGAAGTATTGGATGAACAACTGAATGGAATGTGTTTGCGTTCACACCAATGCAGACCGCCTCCGTGGTGTAGTGGTTAGAGCGTCCGCCCGGAGAGCGGAAGGTCGCGGGTTCGATCCCCGACCGCGTCATACCAAAAGACGTTAAAATATGGTACTTGTTGGTCCCTGCCTGGCGCTCGGCATTATTGGGTACAACAAGGACTGGTCGGATCGGAGTCAGTATACTGTGTCTGAGTGGGGTATTCATGCTTCACTGCGGCATGGTATCTCAGTGAGCTAGCACTATAAAACCAGCTTAAGTCTGGGCTAGTACAAGCAGCCGCACATACACATACACACGCATGCACGTCGTCATATGAGCGAAATATTCTCAAGCACGACGTTAAACCCAATTTCACCTCACCTCACCTCACACCAATGCAGAGATGGCTACACCTGAACAATGCAGTGAGCACAGCGCATCCTCATTCAGAAATAATTATACTTACATGTACACTCTTCAGAAAAAGAAACGCATAGGTGATTTTGAGAATATTGGATTCATGTAGCAACGGCAAAAACAGTACAAGTATACTAGTTCTTTCCAAAACGTCATCTTTGTGTGATTGTAAAGGACTTCAGCGGGGAAAACGCGGCAATTTTAACTGTTTCCCTTCTTTTAGAAGCGTTTGAAGAAATATTCGCCAAAATGTCACCAAGAAAACATGCAAAGCAAAATCAACGTGCAAGTAAGCGGAAAAGCATGTGGTATCGATCACCATAAAAAGGCAAACGTTGTGTTTAATTTGGACATTTTTTGTGTGTCATTTTTGCCTGGAAAAGAGGAACCCATCATGCCACGACTGAGTGCCGCCGATAGAAACATCGCCATAGGCCGCCTTGAAGTTGGGGAGTCGCAGTCTGCATTTGCCCGACATTTCATCAGAGCACCATATCTCGCCTTTGGGATCGGCTGTCCAAGAGTTACCACCCAAGCCCAGAACCGCTACATCCGGGTTACTCACTTGCGTCATCGTCTTGCCACAGCCGTGGAGACTGCACAACGCACAAATCTCTGGTTTGAGAAGAACTTCCGACCAAACTATCAGGAATCGATTGCTTGGAGTGGGGATTCGACCAAGAAGGCCAGTTGTCGCCCCTGTTTTGAGAGACTTTCATCGGCGCAATCGCTTGCGGATGATTCACGATTTCTTCTTCACCAGCGAGATGGAAGACAGACAGTGTGTTTACCGTCGGAGAAATGAACGTTTTGTCCCTAATTGCATTCGACAGGTCGACAGATTCGGTGGAGGCAGTGTCATGGGTGAGATATCCAGCACAGAAAGATCTGATTTAGTGGTGGTTCAGGAGAATTTGGTTGGCTGGTTGTTTAACGTCGCACTCAGCAATATTCCAGCTACATGGCGGCGGTCTGTAAATAATCGAGTCTGGATCTGACAATCCAGTGATCAACATCATGAGCAAAGTTCCAAGCAATTGGGATACGATGACATGTGTCAACCAAGTCAGCGAGCCTGACCACCTGATCCCGCGATTCGCCTCTTACGACAAGCATGGGTTACTGAAAATCAATTCTAACTCGGATCTTCATGGGTTTCCGATTATGGACTGACAGAGGGAGTTGTTCCTGCATGACAACACTACGTCAAATACAGCACGGTACGCTAATTCTAACGTCAATGTCTTGCCATGGCCTTCACGATAACCTGATCTAAACCCGATAGAACACCTATGGGATGAATTCGATCGACGTGTACGTCAACGTCAAAATACGACCCAGACACTGCCACAACTGGCCATTGCATTGGAGAAAGAGTGGGGAAGAATTCCTCCAGAGCGACTTCGTCGACTTATCCAGTCTGTGCCGAGACGGTGCCGAACAGTAATTGCTGCCAATGGTGGCCATACAAAGTACTGACTTTGACGTCATCTTGTGGACTCCAGTAAACAGAAACATAACAATAAAGGCTGTTGTGTTGGCGAATTCTTTGTCTATAGTCGTGTGACTTTTCACCTTTTTCACCATTGGAATTACATGAAATAATTGCTCTTAAACTAACGCATGCGGCAATAAATTCTTCTAAAAATTGCTTATGCGTTTCTTTTTTTTCAAATGTGTATAATGCAAAGTATTTACTCATTTATAAAATATGATTTCATTGTTACAAAACCCCGTACTCACCAATTCTCTGTCTATAGCACGAGGGCTGTAAATGATAGTCTGGTGAGTGAGTGAGTGATTTGAGTTTTACACCGCCTTTAGCAATATTCCAGCAATATCAAGGCGGGTGACACCAGAAATGGCCTCACAAGTTGTACCCATGTGTGAAATCGAAGCCGGGTCTTCAGCGTGACTAGCGAGCGCTTTAACCACTACTCTACCTAACAGTGTCTGGACCAGACAAACCTGTGACTGATATCATGAGCAGCACCTCATGCTGGCGGGGTACGGTGACATCAAGCCTGACCATCCTGATAT